CCCCGCCCCCCACGTTTCTTTTGGGGGTGGGGAAAATTTTTTTAACCCCCCCCCCCCCCCCCCAAAATCTGCAGATTTGGGTGAACTTAAACATTTTGCGATTTGGTGCTAACATTTGCCAAAATTATTTTGATTGGGAAAAAAAAAATTGGTAAAATAAAGTATTTCCCCTTGTTGTTGTCTAAAGGAACGGTTCTATGTTTTTCTAATCAAAACGATGTTGGAATTTAGATCTGTTTTTTTAAACTGATAACAACCCCCCAATTTCCCTCCCCCTTTCATTATGCTGAAAAATGTGGTGGTGGACAGGGACAAGACATACGTTTTTTTTTTAGTGGAGGATGGGGGTCAACCCTCAACCCAAACAAACTATTTGTCTGGTTACAAGCATCACTTGAGGCAAGCTCAGTCCTCCTCACCCGAGGGCTGGACTCCACGGTGCAAGGTCTGTCCGAACACAGTATAGTTCAAGACAGCTTAAAAGCTAAATAGGACAGACATCTGGAGGAAGACGCTCTATCGTCGCTCTACAGAGGCAGGAACTGAAATGTAGGAGGATGATGCGACTCAGTCAAAGAGCCGAGGTATAAACCTAGGTTTGGCGAGTCAGAATCCAAGACTTCGAGCACAAAGCCCCTTCCCTCTCTCCCCCTTTCCTGTTACTCTCTCTACAGGTCACGTAGGGTTGCAAAGGCAGAGCCAGCTGCAATATGGATCCCGCCCGGTGTCAAATGGGGAAACCCAAGTCATTTTGTTTCCTGTTGGTGGCGTGGCTTTCCACCACTAGAGGTGCAAGGGGCTTTTATCGCATTACCACCGTTTAGGCCGGCCAGCGTCTTAGCTCTGAATGCAATTACGCAGCACCTAGCCTGTGCTGGTCTTGTTAATAGGTGTGAGTAATTCAGCAGGCTGCTATTAGCAGGATCAGGCATATCCCTGGTTGAAATGATAATCACATGTATGTCACTTCAGCAAGCTAAGGAGGTTGGCGAATCTTTTACAAGCCTGGGTGTCTAGACTAGCAGCCTTGCTGAATACAAATTTCATTCAGAGGTGAAAGAAGCGGGCTTTGGAAATCCTTACCCTTTTAACTGTCATTTTATAATCCTTGCTTTGGTTATCATAGCCAATCAAAGCAATTGTGAAGAGGTATCCTCTACCCCAGCTGATTTCCTTCCTTTTTCCATCTCATCCTGTTTGCCTCCAGAAGTTTAAACGACTTGAAAATCTAAACAGGCCAGACATAAGTAGACTGGTAAAAGAAGGGACAAGAGATGGAGGAGTCTAGTTACTTCACTGAAAAGAGAGCTGTTGAAAGCAAAAGCGCTCACAAAATTCATCCAAGGCCCACGGCTGTCAGCAGAGGTTTGCCACTGCTTTTAAGGGTCTGATCCAAAGCCCAGCAAGCGAGAGTGAAACCAAGATGGTCCCCACTACCGAGAGAAACTGGTGCCTTACAGATAGGCAGCTCGAGGCAGAGCAAAGCTTTATATCGGCTCAGGCCTTCTGGTGTATTGACACCATTTCCAAGAAGGACTGACCTTGAGCTTGAGGCACCGTACTGAGATGCAGCAGAGCCTGATTCTACCGTAAGCCCTTACTATAATGAGAAAGAACATCATCATCCCCATTGATCAGATGTGGAAACTGAGGCATGGGGAGATGAAGCCCAGGAGTGTTCAAAGGGCCTGGAAGGAGCTAGATGCCCACCTGCCACTGAATGCCAGTGAAATGTCGACATGCAGCTAAGGCAGGGAGGTCACATTTCCCGGGCTCCCTGGGATCTGGAGCATGAGGCTCCTTGAGGTCCAAATCCAGACCCATCTCCAATGGTAAGGCAAGCAGCGACAGCTTTAACTGCTGCAGGTTCCTGAGCTGCAGAGATTAAGGACCTGACACTCACCCCTTGACTGCCAACACACATCCCCAAGGGGCTTCATATGCTGGAATTCAGTAATGGGCCTTGCCCCTGGACCACGATCCAGAAGTCCTGGCCCCTCCAGGAGCCATATGGTTGAGACCCCTGCCCAAAAGCATGCTTTACATGCAGTGCTACAACCAGCTCTCTCTTCGGCTGCCCAAGCTACTTTGCCTGTAGCAATCCATTTGATTTTATATGGAGACTCTCCATTGCATAAACCCAGTGCTGATGCTGAGGGTAGTTAAGAAGAATCCAGGCTATTCACGCCAGATGTAGTTAACTCAAAACTTCATTAAGCTACTAAAACCACCCCCACAAAACCCTAGCCTCTTCACATGCAGATGGCCAGGCTGAAATGCAAAGAGGAGCCCGTCACAGACGGCTAGCCGGACCTTCCAGTGATGTTTGCTTTGCCACGTGGGCTCTTGAGCCCTGCTCTCTGCAGCAGAATGATGTCCCTCTTTGCAAATCTGGCATCGTCCAGCAGGATTATTAAGTCTTTATTTACCAGGTTCGGTACAGAGCAGAGTGGCTCGGTTTTCTGCAATAAACTCGCCATCTGCTCTGCAAGTGCATTACCCAGGTTCACTAGCGGGTGCCACGAGCCAGGAGAGACAGGGAAGTGGATGAAATCTAGGATTCATTTCCAAGGAAAGCTAAGTCAACATTTATCTGGGAGAGACTCATCCGGAGCCTAACAGGAAGGATAGAGGGAGCTGCCGGGGGGGGATTGGAGAACTGCATTTGCGTGGAGCAAGCGTGCCAGGAAAGGCTCTGATGGCAAACATGCAGCTGCCCAAAAAGACCCGAAAGGCAGAGCATAAAAGTAGATGGCAGAGGTAGAAGAAACATATTAGACCATCTCGCATCTCCCCCTTTCCCATGCCAATGCACAATTGCTCCCAGCAGAATATTTTTCACCACTTCCATAAATGTCAGCGAGGATGGAACGTGCAATAAAGATTATTTGGAGGGGATCGGGAAAGGGAGGAAGGATTATGAGCTGGCAGAAGAGAGCTATGGGAAATGTCATTTGCTAACTAGGCCATGTGTTTATGGGGACCCCAGTTCCCATCCTCCTGACACAGCTGATTGTATGAGCAATTTATCCCATGTTGTGGGTCGAGTTCCCAAATCACTGCCATGTGGTGTTAGCTACTGGAAAAAAGAAGAGGAGCGGAGTACAGCCAGAAACAAAAGGTTGCCAGTTGGCTTGAAGAGAGCGACAAAAAATACATGTTGGAGTTTATGTAGCCGCACTGGGCAGCAAACACAAGCCAGCAATGCATCCGATCTCTCTGAGGCCAGATGGGGGAGCTGCTCCACTGTGAATCCTTATGCTACCCAGCCAAGACTATCCCGTTATCTGGTACCGTAGATCTCAAAGCACTTCAGAGCAGCAGGCAAGTACCATGCTTCTTCTTATAAGCATGGGGAAGCAGAAACCATGGGAGAAAGAAAGAGACAGCCACCAGGACGCTGGAAGAACCAGTGGCAAAGACAAAGAGAGAACCCAGAAGTTTTGAGTCCGATCCTTACACCATGTGGGCACACTCTCACTTTCTCAGCAGTACCGTGCCTAATGACGCTGAGCTGGTGGCCGACTAAGCTGATAAAAGCCAGACCCAGCTCACCTATCAGGTATTTAAGTGATATTCAGGCATCAAAGTCTCCACGTGGTTTTCAACTTCAGCCCCTGAACATCTGTTGCTTTTGTAATGCAACTTCATCCCTACCTTCAGCACCAGTCCTGAGAAGTGGTGAGGAGGATGAGAAAGGGCGACCCACCTTTTGTGTTGATGGGCTTTTCGTGGACTCCAGCAGAGTGGAACAGGATTGCAATTAAATATTAAAAGACAACGAAGTAGCACTTAGACACCTAAGAGGTGCAATAGGATTTGGCCCTTAAAGCTAAGAAATATTAACTACCTGGGGTGTGGCTTTGCTGTAACAAGATCCCAACACTTAATTCTTGCTTCTTAAGGTACCAGATGGAAACTCTTTACGGCAAGCTTAATGCACTGCTCACGAATGACAGTTGCCATGACAGCCACCGGTGCTGGGAACTGTCTTGCAGTGCGATTCAGCTGCTCCATTCAGACACGTGCTCTTTCTGCGCCCCCCTTTATGCTGAATGCTTTTGCCCCACTCTGTCCCCGGCCCGCGCCCTGCTAGCGGCACAGGGTGCAGCCTCTTATGCTGTTTGTAGCTCGGGTCACCCTGCTCCACGCACCTGTCTGCCAGCACCAACTCTGCCAGCAATCGAACTGTGAGCTGCCCCTCAAATCAGAGTCAGTGGGGATCCAGACTGCGTATTTGCAGTAGCCCTCCAGCCTACTTCTTTGTAAAGTCCCAGGGGCTAATGACAGCCCAAATTAGGAGATTGAAAAGGAGGCAGTTGTGCATCCACCTACTGAAAGACAATGGACATTGGGTGCTTCTCTCCCTACCTAGACCTCAGGAACCCCCGTTAGGATATAAGCTCAAGGGGGCATCTTCAACTGTCTGAAGCTGACTAGTTGACCGGAGCGCCCACATCACAAACCACCCTCCGAGGCTGCTCAACAAAATCAGGGAAACCCGCTTGTATCATTCTTACTAGTGCCTGCCTTCCTTATGGGATGTTTTGCATTGCAATTCAAAGCTTCAACCAAGAAGAAAATCACCCTGTATTTTCAAAGCATTCTGACCTGTTATAAAATTTGTTGTAAAACAGTTGTAAAAAAAAATCTATCTATCTATAGATATATATAGATATATCTATCTATCTATCTAGATAGATAAATATCTATATCTAGATAGATAGATCGATTTTTTTTTTTTTGGTGAAATCCCCCCCTCCCCTGTTTCCCAGAGTGACACATCAGTGACACTGTTGTCTCAACTTGGCTCTGTGAAATGCAGAGCACTTCAGCTGTCACCACAGCCAGCTCTTTATCCAAAATGGGACAAATGAATGCAGAGCCCTAGATGTGGAGGTTATACATGAGTGTAAGAGATTCAGGAGTACAAGTGGAGCTTTTGTTCCTAATTCATTTAGGCTGTTTTGTAAAGTCCACAGTAAACTCCCCTGGATTAAGGTGAAGGAACAATGCACGTGGGCATGAGAGCAGCTTGCCCAAGCTGTGCCGGTTTCCAGAGCAGTCAAGGCAACGTTTAATCCCTGGCATTAAATTCCCTTGGAACATTCCACAAAGAAACATTCAAAGCAATTGGAAAAAACTTCATCAGAACGGAGATGAATATTTTATCAACAGAGAAACAGGGACTGGATTGAAAACAGGTGCAAACAGAAAGCAAATGTGCAAGTGGGGACCAAGAGAGAACTAGGGCAAAATTCAGAGCCAGGAGCACAGCTGGACAGCGTGTGCCCTGGGTGGGAGCCCTCCAGACTACTTGTTTTTAAAGCGCCAGGGGCCTAATGACAGCCCAAATTAGGAGAAGATTTAAAAGGAGGCAGTTGTGTGTCCACCTACTGAAAGACAATGGAAATGGGGTGCTTCTCTCCCTGCCTGGACCTTAGGAACCCCCCTGTTAAGATATAATACGATCAAGGGTGGCAGCTTCCACTGAGGCTCGACTGTCCGAAGGCCATTTGAAAAGCCCGCTGTGTCCCTCCATCCAGGATGGGCTGCACCTTTCTCCAGGGAACAAACGCTCCTCCACCATGGGCCTTGGAGAAGGTGAGACACCACCACACTTTTTACAGGTTAGCTTGATCCATCAACCCAGGCCAGAGGACAACCCCAGAAGGTGACCCCCATTCTCAGGCTGGTGAGCAGTTGCATGCATCACTTCAGCATGGCTGATGGGATAGGAAACCATTTATAAGGATCAGGGGAGGGTACTCGCCTGGTCCCTTGTGCACCTCCCAGCCTACTTTGGCCAGAGCAATTGCCTCTCCTCTCCCTGCCTGCTGACTCGCGTTTGGACAAGATGAACACTCCCTGCCGTCTGCAACCAGCCGCACTCAGAGCGGGCGAACAAAGGTGGTAACAGTGCAGCCCTTTCTTTTTTTCTTGGTCTATATGCAGTCAAAACTCCCATTAAATTCAGCGCTTTGTCTGACTTACAACTGAAAAAGACAGTGAGGGTTTGGGATCCCAATAGTAATGCATTCGCCTTTTCCCCACCTTGACACAGAGGGATGGCTTCATTCCAGTGGTAATAGCCTTGAGGGTGCCGCAAGCAGGTGGCGACGCTGTGGCCAACGAGACGGTAGCCTGCATCGCAGCCGAATCGGATGGTACTGCCTGGCAGCATCCCAGCTTGGCTGAGAATCGAGCCGTGGAGAGGGGGTGGAGGAAGGCTGCAGTATGGAGCTGGAGGATGGGGAAAAGAAATAAAACACACATCTCAGAACAAAAGGAGGCAGCATGTCGAGACAGATTCTCCCCTCCACGCGTTGTGGTTACATGATGTTTGATTTAAGCCAAAGTCTGATAGGAAACAGAGAGGTTGCAAAGGAAAAAAAAATTACACACACACAATAAAGGAAAAGGAGGTAATGTTGCAGAGTCAGGAACTGGTGTTACTCACAGCACCAGCTGAGAACCCACCGTCCCTGCTAGTGATTTCCACCAATATTTGGACCAGGTTATAACACTACAATGAGTCCTGAGTAAAGCCACAGTGCACACTTGTGCTGCTCCAGCAGCAGATCTGGGGTAGGGGGGTGTGCGGGAAGGTGAGACCTTTTCACCCTTGATTACCCCCTTGTGCAAGGGTGGGTGGAGGGAAGTAATTTGCTCTTGGCCTGTGTCAGGTGCCTTCTCCCTTTTGCAGCGGGTTAGCGCTGCTGCCTGGCATGACGGGAGAACGGAGTTCAGGCTCTGCTCTTCCACAGAGCAAAGGGAGCAGCAAGGCACCAACATAGCTTCTTCTCCTGTACTGTTTCTTGCAACAGTCCCACCTTCCCCAGCCTGCCCCTAATAATTAATGGTCTAGTCCTGTGAGGTTCTGGGCGTCCCGGATTCTTGTTGAAGCCATTGTGAACTGAGGGCTGTCAGCACCACTCAGGACCGAGCCTTGCCAAAGCTCTGTGGAGGTAGCGAGGGGGGGGATATTGCCTTGAATACCTGAAAGCATCTAAAACTCAGCTGATTGCAGGTTTTGTTATGAGCAAGAACTGTCAGCCTGTAGGTCACACAAACCCTATGATCAAACCTGAGGCCAGATCACCGCTTCATAAAAGAAAACTATTGAAAAAAAAAAAATCCCTTGCAGTACTCTGAAGTGTTGAAAATCCTGCTGATTACCACCCGGGGGCCGCAGGGTCTGAAGCAATTCCCGTAGGATTTCTTTTTATATGGGAAAATAAGCAAAATGCACCATTTGGAAATGGATTTGGAGACAAATCAGATGAAACTCAATGAGCCCAAATGAGCTCTGCTTCCGGTTTGTGGCTCCTCAGTGGAGATCAGGGACAGAAATTAAAAGGAAAAGTTCCAACCTCCCCACCCCCAGACAAGCAAAACTTCCAAGTTTCACTTTGGCTTGGGAAATTCAGGGTAATTTTTGGTACTGAAATATTAATTAATCCATTTACTGAGTAATGCTGTTACTTATTTATAGTATGCATGCAAGCTCCCTCTCTGGTTTTATGACTTTCATTAATTAAAATGCGTTAAGTTCCAGAAAAATACTCATTAATGTTTAGGAATTCTTAGTAAACACGCTGCATCCGGTAAGTGTTTTATGCCGAAAGAGTAATTAAAGCTTCCTCTCTTAAGATCCTGACCTTGTTCCTTTGAGAGCATGGACAAAAACACCCATCAAGGCTTGAATGGGAGGAGAATTTGACCCTAATATTGAGCTTTGAGCACTGTAATGTAAGTCACTGTTCAGGCACCAAACAGTTTTTAAGAGGTTTTATGCTTGCGGTGTTAACCACCAGGTGTCTCAATACTACCTAATCTATTCTACAATCTAATAACATGGCATCCAAGCCACCTTTAATTGAATTCAGGTCGGCAGGGCACTATTCTGGGGACTACATTGCTTCTTCGAGGCATAAATCAATGGTTTAGACCTGTACATCAGGTAGTGCTCCCTTAGGTTAAATTCACCGGCACACCAAGTCAGCAAAAAGCTTGCGCTCACCTTAAGTCCTTAAAATAGTGACTAAGTAGATCCTGAGTAATATCGAACTACTACTCAGTAGTATTAGCAGTAGTTAAAGTCCATAAAATAGTGACTAAGTAGCTCCTGAGTAGTACACAGGCTAGGCAGGCCCCGCCATGAGTGGAGGATTTCCATTTGTGCACAGCTGTGCAAAGCCCGTCTTACTTAATTTAAGACGGTGCAACCCTTTTCTCATTTTGATTGTGCATATTTGTATGGGCCCTGCTACACGTTCAAATTCAAGCTAGATAAAAAACAGCTATGGAGTCGTAACATGTTTTCGAGTGCTATTATTATAGTTGGCTGGCTCTTTTTAGAGCCAGAGAGTCATTTTTATCATGCGATAATTATTTTGCATGTGTGGCTGGTCTAAATTTATTGCGCAATTAACCAGTTAATCGTGGGACGATGACTACTTTGCACTTGTGGCCAGTCTTTCTTTTCACATGTGGCCGGCCTATGTTTATTGCATGATTAGCCAGTTAATTGTATAATATATGTAAATGTGTAGAAAATGCCTCTAGGCATGTGTGAGAGCCTTGAATTTGTGTCCCCTCCTTTTTCCTGCACAGTCAATGTTTCTTGGGTAGACCCCAGCCAAAACAGTCCACTTTGCATTGGACACCAGACATAGACCCTGTTTTTCTCCAACGCAGTGAGGTCAAAACGAGACAGTCTTGGGGCTGAAATCTTCTCTGGCCGTGGCATGGTGCATCACAGTACATGCAAAGCTTCTCGCTGCTGCACACTGACAAAGCCCCCAGGCACGAGAGATGCTGAAGCCCCTGATGTGGTCCATGGGTGTAGGTCACCAACCCCTGACTTAACTATTAAAAGCAAGGGAAGGGAGGCAGTCAAGGGACTGGACAGGTGGCCATTTCTGGCTTCTGCTCAGTACTCACCGGAGTAGCGGATTTTAAAGCCCTTTCTGTTGTAGGCATGGTCGGAGGACCAGCGGAGGTAGACCCTATTTCCAGTACTGGTGACCATCAGAGGAGCAGAGTAATTTCCACTTAGAGATAGCAGCAGTGCACTCTGGCCAGACGGACCTTTACGAAAGGATTGGAAAGTTGAAAGTTAGGGTTGGTCCACAGCAACAACCCTCCCACTCCACAGAGGTCACTCCCTGTCTGACACACCGGCACCTGAAGCCAGATACATTTTGACCCATGGCATAAAACATCCAAACACCCCTTGGAGATGCCCAGAGATGCAGGCAGAGGGGGACTCAGTTCAGCGATCCCCCTGAAGTCAACCTGGCTCCTGGTTCTGCATCCCCTCTGCAAAACGCACATCACTGCTGCTCCAGGTATGTAAGCCAGAGCCTTGATGTGAAATTCTGGCTGTAGTGGAGTCAAATGCAAGAGGGCCAGGGCCTCACTGCTCCTGAGAAGCACTGTCTGGTACAGAGTGGGTTGCACGGAGTTGCAGGCACAGTGAGTACCGCGTTCTGGGTTAAGGCTGCATTTCTGTGATCCCTGAAAAAAGTCACCCAGCTAGGATACTCCTGAGAACCCAAATATTGGCTCCTAGCAGGGGGAGCCGATTGCCTAGCATACAGTTCAGGGCTGTAGCCTTGGACTGGTTTGGTATAATTTCATTTCTCCTCTCAATCTGTCTCCCCCCGGCATCCTTGCCCCACACCGCTTTTCTCTTTAAGACCTCCTTTAACTGCTCCCCTTCCCCATGTAGAAAGTCCCCCCCTCCCCAGTCAAATCACTGTTCTTCCCTCCCCCAGGAAATCAAACCCAACCACTAGCTTCTCGATGGACTACCGTGCTACGCAAGCACAGTTGCCCTCAGGGAGAGATTTCTTCAGGTACAGCAGAGGGCCATGGGCACTGCGGTGGAAAAAATTCAGTGCAGGATGGTGGGAACACACGAAGGACCACGCTCCGTCCTACCGCTCCCCTTGTATCCACCCCTTTCCTGGCCCACAAAAGACATTGCCAGAGGGAGTCATTACCGTCAAAGATCTCAAACTCGTCATACTGCTTCTCGCTCAGGAAGTACTCAATGATCAGGGAGATGTTGTATCCGGGCTCCACTTTGACCACCCAGGAACAGGTCTGGAAATGAGGGTAACTTCCCAGGAAGCTTTGGCTGAGGATCACACCAGTGGAGTCCGTCAGAACCTCATTCATCGGGCAGTGGACTAAAAGACATAGAAACAAGAAAGCACAGAAACTAAGGCCTCCTTTCCAGCACCAGGTGGAAGCAATCACAAGGAGCCAAGGCCAAGCCTTTCAAAAATAGGTGAGGGAAAATAATGGGGAGGTCTTCAAAATGGGACTGAAGCTCCTGGGTTCAACTATCTTTCACTAGGACTGGAGCACCTCACTTCCTTGGGCTCCTCTGAAACGTCCAGGTCTCAGTTGGACCTCGGCTCCTAAGGAAGCGGGCTGTTTTTATAACAGTGCTCAGCGCCATTAAGATTTGGAGGAAGCCAGATGTGCCCAGACGCACATCTGTGTCACTCTGATCCTATGACTGTCAAAGTCAATGGAGTTGCACCAGCATGAAAGTGGAGTAACGTAGGTTTGGATTATGCCCTCGTTACACGAGGGACCTTTCATTTGAGGATCTGAAGCTCGGTGCAATTGTTCCCATCACAACACCCCTCCTGTGACCACGCAAACTTTATTTTGCCTATTTTACAGAATGGCCAAGTGAGGCACAGGCAACACTTGTTGAGCTGGTGGTAGCAGGGGGATTAGAAGCCAGGAGCCCTGAATTTGGGAGGAATTGTGAGACCATATCCTATCTCAGAACAGTTGAAACATCTGTAGACCCTGGGTTTAAAAACAGAAAACAAAACGTCCCCCCAAACCTAATCCAAGAAAGAGAGCTTGAACAAACTAAGCAGAAAAGCATTGCTTGAGAGGATATTTAGTTATCTATCTAGCCATCCAGCCAGCGACTGCGTCTTAAACCATAGTGAGCACTGAATAGAGATTAAAGAAAAAAGCCAGTGTCAGCCAGAAGAACAGTGTATTCTTTCCGAATCCTTAATCCCTTCAGTGATTTTTTGACATCCAGAAATTGGTGACCAGATGTAATTTAAGCAGTCCCCTTACCCTCAGGGCTAACAACCACTAGTAAATAATTGAATGACCTCCTGTTCTCTCCTTCAGCTTACCCTATCCCAGAGAGAGAATAGACCTGTAGAAAAATCTCCCATTATATGTCAAAATGTTCAGATGGGGGAGAAAGAAGATGAGATAATCACTGCTGGAATGAAAAAAAGGAAACCCGTCAAAAGACATCAGCAAGATAAAGAAAATACCATTGTAGCGTGGAGGCATCTTTGAGATGCTTCTTCAAGGGTGCGCGGTGCATTGCACCATGCTCAGGGCATTTTTTTTCCCCCTTGTGACACATTAATAAGGAACCCGTCGTTCACAGGTTCGGCCCTCAGGAAGATTCCCCATTGCAGCAGTCAGCTCCTCTTTGCTGCCACTGTTCACATATCACCGGCCAACGGTCAGAGAGGCCTTCTTCTCTCCCAGCAGAAGGATGCTTGGGTTGTGCAGCCAGATGCCAATGTCAAGAAGTGCCTGCAAAGGCGGTATTCTGGCTGCTGTTCAGAACAGCGCTCAAGTGCTTTCCTGAATTGCAGCCTCCGAGGGTGTCTCTGGGCTACCCAATGTCAGACAAATTCGCTTGGTCAGTGCTGAGCCCCCGTATCACCCAATGAAGTTGCAGAGGCTGATGGAAACCAGTGACAGAGGATTTCCCATAGCATTTATGAGATTTCAAAGCCTGTATCAGCCCCAAGATATATATTTTGATTATATCCCTGGCACTGCTCAGGACCAGCCTGGGAAGTGGATGGAGACGGCACCCCCAGAGAATACCCATTCCCTGCAGCCCAGGGAGAAAGTCTTTGCTGATGTGTTGGAAGCCACTGACCTTCACAGGTGGGTGGAGGACCTTCGAACTGGAGATGAGTGCCTAGCTTGCAGGTCAGGATTTCATTTCCAACCAAAGTAAAACCAGGGAGACATCTGTATCTCACAATGTCACCTGAGGAAGAAAAGCAGAAAGGCAGAAGGTCTCAGCTAAGGAGAAGGCTTGGCTTACAAAGGAGTAAGTGCACTGCTGCGCACAGGGGACAGCGCTGCAGTTGGGCTCTAGTCCTTGAGTGACCCAAGGTCTTCCCTCTGCTATTACAGGAGCTGGCTCACATGTGTGGACTGCTGGGGTCCCCGTGCAATAGCTGCAGAATCCAGCTATTTTATTCTGTGGAAATACAAATCCACATGGCTGAAAATTGCCCCTATTCAGGATCACTTCTGTCTTCCTTCTGCGCCATCCTAGGCCATGGTTTTAAGGAGGGAAGCGATATTATATGCCCTCTGCATGAGGCTGAATTTCAACCATGCTGAACACCTGCCCAGAGATGTCACGGCCTTTCAAAAAGCCAATGCCACACGCTCCCGGCTTCCTTTTGCTTCTTGTACCACCATAAATCCTGGGGTGGGCATCCGTGATGCACACACCAGACACAAATCCAGCTCACTCCTCCTTAACATTATGGGGTAACATGCAGGATTACAGATGGATAAATTATGTGGGAATATTGGGAGGTAAAAGTATATGCAACCCATGGACTATATTCTCAAGCTGGCATTAAACTGGTGTCCCCCTCCACTGATTCTGATGGGGTTATGTTGTTTCCAGTTGAGCATCTGGGCCAGGGGAAGCAGATGTTGTGAGAACAGTGGCTTTTTTACTGTGGCTGCTTTTCTGATTGCAGCCAGGCTTTCAAAGCAGGTGCAGTGCTGGGCAGAACAGAAAATGCAAAGAGCTCAGGGCACAGGAAAGAAAAGGACTTAAAAAACCAACAAGTCTCCACCTTCCACGCCTTGTATTATCCTAAATGCCTCAAATATCTTAAGGCTTCAAGATATTACAGAGGCAAACGGCAGTGGCGTAACTGAGGTGGGAGCGTAGAAACACCCATGACCCCGGCAGTGACTGATTTGACCCTACAGCAGACAGCACTGCCCTGGGCCTGCCCTGGGTGCAGATTTGTGCTGCTACACCTCTGGCAAATAGCTCTGTGAGCTTCTAACCAAGAATTGGCCTTTTACAAATGAGCCCTTGCAGCTATACCAATAAGGATAGAAATTCCAAGAACTATCAAATCCATCTCATTCAGGGCAGAAGCCAGGTACCCAAAAGGGTCAAGCCTCCCCACACCAAATCATGTGAAACAGCATAATTAGATGCTTTAATAGGCTCTTCTGAATCATATGACATCGGAAACAAGGGACCGGTCTCCAGGGAGCACTGATGCATTGATGCCGCCTATCTTGTGCGGGTGGAGGGTGAAAGAGCAGGTTGGAAGATGCTACCTATGTTAAATTCTTCATTCGCCGTGATGATTTCAGCATTGGGAACAATGGTTGGACGATGGCACCTGGAGAGCTGATAGGCTGAAAAAAGGAAAGAAGAGCAGATGTCAGTGTGTGAAATTGCTTCCAATGGGAGATGAGACTTTTACGGACAAGGCACGTACAAGCCTAATAACAGCTCAATGTTTTGCAAGAATCCATCTCCCGAAAATAAATTGCCACTGCTCTGAGAATTGAGAGGGAGTGAGAGGGGAGTCCAGAAATCATGCTCTACCCTAGTTGCTATAATATCTGGGCACCTCACAATATCTCTGCGACTTAGGAAAGGGCTGTTAACTCTGTTAACTGAGGTCATGCAAGAAGTCTATCATGGGGAGTGAACACACACCTTCCAAGCACTTGGGTAGGGCTATAGCCACTAGACCATCCTTCCTCTTCCTTGGTAGCCCCAGGGATAGGAATGATGTTACTTCTGATGCTTTATGAGAGAAACCATCTGTACCAGTTGGCAGTCAGTTTTGTGCTTTTCTGCCCCCAGTATATAAACAGTATGATCCATCTTGCAATATTTCAGCTGGGGCCAGCCCCTATCAGTGCCCGGCAGAGCCAGAGTGAGCACTGAGATCGCTAATGGACACCAACATACCTGGAGGCTGGAAAAGTACAGGTGAGGACAAGGACAGCTCAATCCCTCCCTCATCTGATTTTGCAAAATGGGTTCCTGGGAAGTGTGCTGTGCTCCCACCTTGGACAGCACTTGCTGTATAACCACAATGGGAGAAGCCTTGGAAGGAGGACAGCAAGGAACCCTCCCTAGCTGGGCTGCTGCTGTTTGCTCTCTTCCCGAGCGGCTTTGGTTTGCATAGGATCCCATCTGTAGCAGATTGCAAGCTTTCCAGAATCCAAAGCCATTGGGAAGCAAGTCTGTAATCAGCATGCAGAGCCCTTGTGTGCCCAGTCAGGGTCATCCCCATTCGACGGGCAGAGAACGGCAACCGATGTTTGCTTGCGTGACTCATGCTGCGATGCGAACGCGGTGCACAGATTTTGCAAACCTGGGTAGACGATTCGAGGCAATCTCATGGGAATTAGGTCAATCCTGCAAGAGGGAAGCCTTAGACTGCGCTGAAGCCAAGTCAATAATTCTCGATGAATCATTATTCAGGCACTGCATTTTTTTGCTGCCTGTTCTTATCCTGGAACGGAGGTTGAAAACCCCCCTCATTTATTTTTAACTTGGAATTATTCATTAGTTTCTTCTGCAAATAATTCCTGGGGTGCGAGCAGTTTGAATTTCAAATACCATCGAATCTGCAACGTACAATGAAACAGATGCCAGTCGCCTATCTGGACCTGACGTAAAACCACAGAGCGGATTTGGAGCGATTGGTTCAATTATACATTCCTCCGCTGGTGCCGTGTGGACACGTGCAAGACACACCTCCTCCAATCAGGGAACAGAAACGCCACCATGTGTCCCACTCACCTGACCAAACACTGGGCCGAGAGCAAAGTTTGCCATCAGCCAGCCAGCCTAAAATTAACTATATGGAAATATCCAGACAATTCAATAAAACAAATCTGCAATACAGAAGCCGATGAGGGTGAAAGATTTCAGCCGCTGCTGCTTAGAGAAAACTCGCAGGGACGGTGAGAGTGGTGAAATCACCCATCGAGTTTTGAATGAATATTCAATGAAAGCATTTACTGTTCTTTGCTCAGCTCTGCTCCGAATCTTCACTCCTACAGTCTCCTAACCCAGGATAAGTGTAAATCTCTCAGCAATGTATTTCAGCCTATTAATCCCAGACACTGGTCATCTGCATTAGTGTTAAATCTCACTAATTCAAACTTTATGTGCAACAGCAGGGCTGGCTGTAATGACACTCCGGAGACTTTTTTTTTAAAAATAATTTAATTAAGTATTTAAATATGAATTCAGGAGCTTAGGTTCAAATGACTATATGTGAAATCTTACCCCACATCTACTCTGTGCTCCCGTTTCCCCATCTATAAAGTGGAGGTGGCGGGGGGCAAAATAACTGTGTCCTATTTCACCAGGGAGGTGGAGACTCTAGCACTGCTGATAAATATTTATAAAGTGCTTAGGAAGACTCGGATGAAAGGGGTGATTTTTCTTTTTTAAACTGGTGCACAGGCTAAAGGCTGCATATGGCCCTACGTTAGCAAAATTAAAAACCAGTAATAGCGTAATGAGCTAAATTCAAGCAGAGGAGATCATAGGGGACTGTCAGGTCTGTAATTTCGAGAGAGAGCTTCCACACAAATTCTTTGCAACCTACTGCAAAAGCACAATGAAATGGTTGAACTAATGAGCAAGAGGAGAAGGCATATTGCAGGGATCTGGGCCAGTTGAACAGGCAAACCTGTCACTCCTCCCACCAAGCTTTCTCGGTCACGCTGGACCAGGGGGGAGAGAAGGGAAGGAAATGCAAGGGAATTTCCTGTTAACTGGGGTTTTTTCCCCAGCTCTGAGAGATAAGCAGATGCTTTAAGACCCCATATGCTCCTTCGCTTGTATGCTTTGCCCCTAGATGTAGAGAAGATGCTTCCTTTACGCCTGACAGAAAACAAAGGGTGGAAAGGCCTCCGGAAAAAAAGAGCAAAGGTCTCTGAATGTGCACCTGACCTCTGCTTCAATGGCCAAAGCCACCTGCTGACAGAAGGACCTCCAAGATTAGTGGCAGAATGGGCCCTTGGCAGTGAGATGGGACTCCACCTTGAGAATCCCACCTTGACCCTCCTTAAAGATACCCAGTTTTCAGAAAGAGCAAAACAACCATAGTGTGAGAATGAGGCCCCTTTCTGTGCCCCTGGCCCACTGGATGTCTTTGACAAGTCTCTTCATCACCATTTCCTATTGCAAGCTTTGCCTCCTCTATATAGGGATTGCAAGTATTTGGGGAGAGGGGTCCCTCTGATATGCTCCCTTTGCACGTTCTCAGAATAATAGAGCCCTGATCTCAGCTAGGACTTCCAGGTGTTCCTGGAATACAAATACTTCCCCATCCCACCCGAGCTCTTTCTGGCCAGACAACTATGAAGTGGCTTGGAGACTGCAGCAGTGAATTAATCCCTTTTACTCTGAAATAAGAAAACCGGTGAAAAGCCAAAAAAGCAAAAAGAGCCCTTTCGGTAGGGAGAAAAATATCATTTGCAAGCTTTTATATGACTGTTTGACAGTGTAGGAAAAAAAAGAATTAAATGCTATTTAAAAAGTGCTTGACAGCATCTATTTAAGTGGAGAGAGAACCTAGCATTTGGAGCATTACTCTCTGTTCCTTAAATGGGCCATATTTCAATGCAGGGCTATGATTAAGATGGTTTCAGCATCTGGATAGCAGGGTGCCAATAAAGCTGACTTCAAAAGCACCTTGATTTGTTTCCACCAAGATGAATCAGGGTCTTTGTCCCTGGAGCACTGCAGAGACCCACCAAGAGTTACTGTGGCAACAATACCCTTCCCCAATATGTTCACACAGGAAACCATGCTGCCACCTGTTTCATAATGGGCAAACCAAGGATGTTGCACCAGGATTATCTGCCTTTTAGGGCTCCTGGGGTGCCTTCACTCTCTCTCTTTCCCCTCCTCTCTCTTTTTGAAACAGGGTATGTCCCTTCAGAGCAGTTCTTTTAAGCAGCTGCTGTTGGTTCACAATTCCTGTGGCTTTGTTGGGATGTCTCGTGTGCCCCAGATCGGAGCACACACAAAGCAAAACCATTCTGATTTCACTTGCACGGATGCAGATCCAAGACAAAGGCAATGGCACTCAATAGACTTACTGCAGATCTACGCTGGTAGAAGACTAGCCCTGTGTCAGAGCGAACCGGAGCAGAGCAAAATGTGACCCCAAACCTGATCATCCCCTCTTGCGTGCATGGAGAACACACAGGTCATGCTGAGTCTGATTTTCCAGAAGGGTGTGTGTAACTGTAATACCACCTGAAGTCAACATGTGGTCTCCCAGGCCATCGATAGACATTACATTTTAATCTGGACTACAGCCGTCATTATATACACATGGATGTCTGTCATCCGAATTAAAACTGGCTCCAGTCTGAATTAACTAATCCTCATCGAATGAGGATTAAAATTAATGCGGACCAGGGCAGTTCAAAATGGGCCATTTAAACGTTATTAATCAACATGTCTGTACGGTGTTGCTTTTAGGAAAAAAACATGCTTAGAAACTCAGCAGATAGGCATTGTAAAGATCAGTCCTTGGAAGGGAAACTCAGTTGGGTTTCTGCAACTCAACAGAAGCTATCAGGCACAGGTAACACCTTTGCATAGTCAAATGTGCCAACAACACCTCACCATGACTAAGTATCAGTATCCTAAGTCCCCAGCCCTGCCCAAGCACACAGTCCTGGTCTGAGCTCCCTTTCCACCCACCGCATCCCTCCCTACATGTTAGCTCATGGTCATCAGTGCTCAGGTCAACTCTACCCATTAAGGCTTCTGGAACAGCACTTTAGATAATGGTCAGTAGGTTTGTAACAATGCACCAGTGCTTAAACAAGCTTATTATCACTTCCTAGGGTGCTGACAGACATGGAAAACCCCCCCCAAATAGTGCATTACCAGAAGAGGAATCACATCAGTTTGACCTGGCTCCCCAGTGCCCGTATGGCTTGTGCCCTTCAGCGGGGCTTCCACACCTCAGTGGGGCTTTTTAGATAAAACAGCCAAAAAGTCCAGCTGAAGTGTGTGAGCTATACAGACACCAGGCAAGCCAGGTCAAACTCCTCTTCTGGGCATGCATTGTTTGGCATGGGGGTATCCTGAGCTGAAAGCAAAGAACTGGTTTGTGTTCCCACACATTTGTAAGCACCCCTAATTACTTCCAACCACAAGTGCTAAGCACAGAAGCCCATGAACAGACCCAATTTGCAGCCTCTGTGAAGGGGCTGATGGTCAATGATCATCTATTAACCCTTAATTCAAACTGTGGGATGCACATCAGTTAATACGGTTTAAAAAAAGAGTGAGCGCATGTACAAACGACCCTAGAGGTCTCTGATAATCAGGCTTACGTGTATATGTGTATTTAGTACCA